TGGAAGAGCTGAAAGAAGGACAAACCTGCTTTAGAAAGCATTGTGTTTCCAACGCAGTCTCTGCTTAGCTTGTGTACGCTCCGCTCGCCACCCTGGGGCTGCTGCTTTTCCTTTGGGACACTTGGTCTCGTACCTATCTCCTGGTGCCAGGCGGCCGTTTCGGAGTCACTTTTCCAGCGGACACGGAGCCAAGCGGATTCCCAGCCAAAGGACTGGGCTGACAGCAGGAGAGCCCCCGACGCCCTTGTTGGAGTGTGAGAATGGGATCATCAGCCATGGCACGTGTGGGAGCTGCTGCCACTCCATCCAGCAGAGAGGCAGCTCCAGGGCAGCACCGATAAGCAAATCCCGACCCACCGCTCCAGGCTGCGAAAGGGGAGTGGGAGACAGGGAAGCAGCAAACACTAAAGAACCCCTTCTTCTGTGGTGCTGAGCACCAGGCCTCAGCCCCTGCTGCTGCAGTTGGTCTGGTGCCTTTCTGCAGCACCAACCCTCCCGAAAACAGGAGGTGCCCTGAGTTTTCCCCAGGCAGCAGCTGCACCTGCTTTCAGTCTCCACACTTAGGCAGTTTAGGTGGGACTCTTGTCGCCCACCCGGCTCTGCCTGCCCCTGTGCACAGCCCTGCGGTCACAGCTGCCTTCGCCTGCTCGGAGTGAAAGCCCAAGCTGTAACCGCGCTGTGCGACAGGAGAATCCCTCGCAGGAGGGCAAGACCCGGGCTGCACTAAATGCAGCTTTAATCACTCGCTAAATGACATGGACAATTTAGAAAGAAACCCCTTGGGGCGGGGGGAAAAGCGTCATCTGCCTCTCCTCTACCTCCATCCCCAGCCCCTTCAGCCAGCGCAGCTCCCTGCTCCCGGTGCACGCCGGAGGGCATCGCTCTTATCTCCTCTGTCACTGCCAGCCAGCTGAGACACATCAAATGATTCGCCTGAAGTCAGACAGGAAGCCTGGGGCAGACCAAGTAAGAGAGTCCTCCCCAAAAACTCCGCCAGATTTCCACTTTTGGAGCGGTGCTATCTGGACAACTCCTGGTGTGCAGTGTATCATATTTTGCAGTCCCAGTTCTGGAGAGCTTATCTGACTGCAATTATCCACTTCTGCAGAAGCTGTTTTCTGGCTGGCTCGGTACACAAACAACTAGCATCAACCCTCTAGTAAATTAGCAAAGCTTTGAGCACAGTGACTTGCAGAAATGACAAGTAAGAGCAGGGGGGCAGTGCTGTCCTCAGAGGCCACTGCCTTCTGTAGGAGCCCTGTGCATCTGCTCCAGCCTGAGGACGATCAAGTGGATTTTGCATGTTGGAGGGTGATGCAGCTGAGTGAAAGGATAGATGTCTTGGGCACTAATCAGCCCAATCAAATGAACGAGGCAGATTTGCCCCCAGTGGAGAGTTGTCCCTATCTGCTCTGAGCTCTATCAGGAGTCGTGGTTGTGGAGTGGCAACGTGAGCTCTTTGGCAGATACAAACCCTGTGAATCCCTTTCCATACGGGCTCCTCTTTCCTGCTTTGCTGGCTGGTGCCCTGAGAACCCCCTCACCAGCCCAGGCTTTTGTCCTCACTGCGAGAGAGCAGAGCTGGGACCATCCCCGGCCAGCCCACGTAGCTCATCTCTCCAGCTGCCTCTTGCTGTGGTTGCAGGTCACTCATGTTATTATTATTACTATTGCAGGACCTTGTCACTGATGCTATCTCTGCTCCTCCACTAATTTCAGCAATGTTCATGTGGGGACAAAAAGCAGTTATGAAATGAGAACCTGCTTTCAAATTCAGAGAGGGTGCAGACAGCTTTCTATCCTCCCTCCCACCTCTGAGCAGCTTTGTGGCTAATTTAGTTCCCAAATGCATCACAGACTCCCAAATTCACTGCATCTGTGAACTCTGGGGCTCAAATGGAAAATTGGCTTTTGTGTTACCACAACATGCTGATGCATCTGAGTCTGTTCAGCAAAACACAGGCTTGACACCACAGGAAGGAGCACTGGAAATATTTTGGTTACATGCAGGTGGAATTAAACAGATGTTTGAAGAAATGAAAAGCTGCTTTTTAAAGTATGTCAGTGTTGCTGCTCCAGATGAAGCAGGGTGAATTGGAGCATCTGGAAGCCTTGGTAACAGATTTCTTACAGATTTCTCCCAGGGACTGATCTTTCTTTCATGATAGAAGTTGAGATACAGAATTTGGCTTGCTGCTGCAAGGTGTTCAGACCATGATCTGCCTCCTCTCAGAGAAAGAGCAGATCATGGGCAGATGAAAAGCCAGCCATCTCCTCTGCCCCATTTCTCATCTCTTTGATATCCTTTTTACTCCCTGGAGTACAAAATTCATTGTTGGATTTTTAGAAGAGTGAGTGAAAAGACTCACTTTTGCCTAATCAAAGCCCAAGCAGTGGGAGAGGTTTTGGGGCTGCAAAGATCATTTGAATCATTCCATCGTGCTTGAAAGGACAGGAGATTCCTGGGACAGACGTGTCTGTGTGTGCAGCTCACATGTGCAGATAGCCCAATGGGTGCACGTAGCGGGTCCTGGCACCTCTGCTGGGGGCTGCTGATTCTCGCATTGTCCACGAGGATACCCAGGGCTCCCATCAGCATTTAGCTGCCTGTTGACGTTAGGAAGAACCTCAGCTCCCTTTGGTTCCTTTTCCTCTCCAACCAGTATCCATGGGAAGACAAGTGTCTCCAGCACTGTTGTGCTGCAGGATGGTCCTTCCAACACACTGAGTGGGGGGCACAAGCTTTTGGGAGCTGTTTGGCTTCCTAGGGAAGCTTTCCAGGGAAAGCAGGATGGTAACCAGCCAGCTAGACCCCAAGCCGTGCCAGAGCTGCCTGCTGGATGCTCCGCATTGCGGCAGGATGGTACCATTTAGGGCTGTGGGTCTCTACACGGCGAGGTCCCCATGGATTGGGACGGCTCTCCCTGCCCACGCTCACCCATTCCGCCAAGCACAGGGTGATCTGGGTTATCTGGGCTCTGGCATAAGCACGTGGATGTTTCTGAGTGTCCCAGTTTTTGGTGCTTTTACCCCTCCACTGAACCCCTGAGACCGTGGGAGAGGACTGACTTGGGGACTTGCCCTGACTAATCCATGATTTAAGAGATAGCATTTGCTGTCATCCAGCAAACGCCACGTGCCAAAAATGACTGGAATTCACCTCATTGTCCTGATGGAAGTTCACACGTCCAGGCTGGCAAGCGCTTCTCTTGGGTCCATCACTGCCTTTTCCCTGGGCATCTTATTGCCACCCGGGGGAGAGCAGGAAGCTGGAGCAAAGGACTCCAGGGAATGCGCAAGGAAGATCTCATGCCAGAGGAGCAAGAGGGAAAAATATGTCTTGCTCTTGAGCAGAAATCAGCCATTCAGTGCTGAGGACCCTGGAGAGAAGGAGTATCCAGCCCGCAGGAACGTGGGGAACAGCCTGCGCTGCTCACTTCCCATCAGCTACTCCCTGCCTCTCCCTGCGGACCGAGCAGGAGCCTTGGTGCTGCTCTGGGCTTCTGAGCAGGTCTGTCTATCTTGCTGCTCCCACCCAGCAGTGAGGAGTTCACAGCTCTTAGCTTTTCACTGTAAAAGGAAAAGCCTTGGGGAAAACAAGAGGGAGAAGAAGCAAAAGTCTTGGGCATGGTGACTTAGGAAGAGCGGCTGGATTTTCTGGTCTATCACGATGGGTCTGGCAACAGCTTTCCTTCCTGAAGGGCTGGATTCTCATCCAAGTGTTGGGTTTCGGTGCCACTTCCAGGGTGACTTATTTCAGGAAGGTTTTTATTTCCCCCCCCCCCCCCCCCCCCCTCTTTTTTTTTTTTTCCTGCTGAGTCATTTGAGCTTTCTTCTTTTCTTCCTGGGTATCAAGAGTTTTGTGGCACAAGAAGTCAGATGAAAGCCCTCCTGGTTTCCGTTCTCACAAAGGAAAGGAAACCGAAGCCCGGTGCGGGGCTGAATAGTAGAACTCCACCGATGAACTTCTCCCTGCAGTTACTGAAAGCTGAGCAGAGATCTTTTCCTCCCCAGCCTCTGGGAGCATCTCCCGCTCCTGGCCTGCTGGAAGCTCACAGACACATTGTGTGCGGTGGAGATCAGATGGTGGGAATCCCATACCTTCTTCCCTTTGAAGGTGAAACCTTTGGCTGGGTAGGAAGGTGCCTTTCTCCTGCTTCCCTGGGCTGACCACAGGGTGTTTTCCTGGCTTCCCGCTACCTTGGCTTTCCAGCAGCACAAGGGTGCTGCTCTTATGCCTTTCACTCTTGCTCCGTTTGCATGCACAATCCTGAGCACTCCAGAAGAGCAACTCACCCCACTTCCTAGGTCCACTTTGAATCTGGCTTTTGGGACAGACTTAGCATTGCCAAGTATCTGGGAATTTCTGATCTCAACTTCTTTTTCGCATCACTCATGTACCTAAAGGCCTTTCCCAAGAGGCAGCCTGCTGTGGTGCCAGGCACTGTGCAAACCCCAAGACAGCAGGAGAGGTGGATGGGGAACAGCTGATGAAGGCTCTGCTGCCTTCAGGACCTGCTGAGCTCCTGCTCTACTAGGGAGACCCCCTCTTGGACATGACTGAGCCAGTCCCTACAGAGCTCATGGCCTGGACGGACGGGAGAGCTGCTACGCGAGGGCAGACAGACACTTGCCCACGTCAGCGGCCAAGACAAGGGGCCTGCAGACCACCCGCTCCCACCACTTCTCCCTCGAGAGGGAGCGGGATGTGGTGGAAAAGCTGCTCTCTCCTCGATGCAAGAAGCCCCTCAGTGGCTGAACACTGTATAAACAGCGGCAGCAGCAGCAGGCTCCCTCCCCCTTTCCCTTTCTGTTTGTTAAACACACGCTCCCTGCCTTGCTCTCATCCAGGAGCTCCCGGAGCATCCAGCTCCCTGAGACGGGGGCTGCCACTCGCCCTGCAAGAGGCTGCTCGCCGGTGCCACGGGTGGGCTGCCAAAGCCAACCCCAGCGACGAAGCAGCCCAGCTCCCCACGGACATCCTCCTTTTTCCGAGGACAGTTTGGAAAAGTGCTTCTCACCCACTTGCTACAGGTTGAGTCCCTGAGAGTGGGGAGGACAGAGCGCGCGTCCCGGCCGGCGATGAGACGATAACTCGAGGTGAGCGACTTGGTTCCTGAACAAGGAGGACGCCCTGGCCTCTGCAGGTGGGTCGGGGAGGGCTCAGCTGAGTGGCAGGGCTGATACGGGGTCAGCATTTGGCCCTACCAAAACCATGTAGAGTTCATAAGAGCATCCTTGGGAGGCTGAATGCTGGGGCTGGCAGCCCCGAGAGCTGGAAGAGTGTGCAAGAAATACAGACAGGGGAGTTTTGAGCTGGTCCCACACTGAAGTCAGGAGCTTGGGAAGCAGCAGGCGGAGGGAGAGGGGTCAGGAGAGCAGGTTGCTCCAGGGCTGTGCAGAAACCAGGCATGTAAAGCAGAGTGCTGCAAGTGTGGGGCTGGGGTGCACAGCTGCCGGAGACGTTTCCATCTCTCCCGTGCTCTGCCTCCTCGTGGCTTGGATACAAACCTCCTGGCAGCTCCTCTGTGCTGTTACCAGGACGGCACGCGCTGCTGGTACCCAGCGCTTGCTGCCAGAGATCAGTGCCCCAAAGACAACGTGCAGCAGGATGTGCGGGACCACAAGAGGACAAATCCAAAAGATGCAAAGAGAGATGGGACGTTGCAGGAGGAAAATCACTGCCTGATCTCTCTCCTGACTTGTTGCATGTTAATGTTTAGAACAGTTGCTGCTGCTGACGTGGAACAGTCTCTTAAAGTCCCGTCACAGTTCGCATTTCACCTATAAACTCAGCCTATAGCTCCTATCGAAGCAAGATGCTGAGTTTGCTGCCTTGTTACTCTGTTAGCAGGGCTGTTCTCTCCCTCCCCTCCTTTGCCTTGTCTACCCCTGGCCCCCTACATTGCAGGAGGCAGCAGTGCCCCACATCAGTTGAGCTGCTCCCACCAGGTTGTCTGCTGCTTTCTGCAGACCCTGTCACGTAGCGCGGCCCCATCGCAGCATCCCCAACGCCCAGACAGCACCAGCACAGCTTGGGTGCTCCAGGCTGTGTCCAGAGGGATGGATCCTCATGTTGGCCTCTATTCTCTCTTTCCCATGGAGAGGTGGTTGCAGCATGGATGCGGGGATGAACATTTACAGAAGTGCAGCAGAGGATGGGCAGATGGGAGGGATTTTCCTTCTGCTATATACACACTTCTGTGGCAGACTCATAGTGGGCAATTACTCTTTCCCTGGAGATGCAAGGATGTGGGGCAATTTCTATCTGCTTTTTGGCGTCAGGGAATCACTCCAGAGTTGCTATTTGCTCTGAAGGCACAGAGAGGGCAAAATTCTCCCTGCTCCATCAGTCACATTTTGTGTTTTCATGCAGCTCCCGAAATCTATGTTCAGATACACAGTTTGGTTTTATCCTGAGAGATGCCGAGTGCTCCCATGGTTAGCACAGGACATGGTGCTAGGAGACTTGGGCTGCTCCCAAGCTTGGTTAAGCTCCATATCTCAGTTGTGTTCTGCTCCCCTGCGTGCTGTCCCGGGGTACAGGACTGAGCACAGCTGCATCTCAGGCGCCACAGGGGAACGAAGTGCACAAAGTTCTTCTTCAGCACTGCAGTAGGGAGCACCTGCCCCAGGGTGAGGACTAAATGCTGGTGATTGGGGATGGGTTCGTACCTGTGTGCCATGGACACTCCACTGATAGAGGGCTGGGGGCAAGATGAGTTGCTGCACGAGTGGTAGAAGGTCACCTGCTCACACTGCTGCTGTCTCCTCAGGTAGCTGAATTCAGTCCTCCTCTTATTTTCTTGGACAGTGATGAGGGAGTATCATGGAGTTGAGCTGTCACGGAGAAAAGACACAGCATGGAATAAATTAGTGAGGCAAGACATGAAAACATCCATCAGGCTAAGCCCTCACGCCCCTCCTGTAGAAAGAGGTTGTGGTTGCTCTTAGCCAGACTTGGAGCAGAGCAAAGGGGCTGATCTGGTTTCCTCACTCCCTCTCCCAGTCTAAGGACAACTGTGATAGGATTCCTGGTCCCTAACTGCTCTCTGAGCGGCTTCACCCTTGTCCCCCTCTTTTCTGTGCCCCTTGTCCCCACACTCTGTGCCTGCTGGTTGGAGCTACTCCAATCGCACCCAAGCTACTTGGGTGAGAATGAGCAATTTTAATAAGCTGTGGTTTCTTCAGCCCTCTGCCTAGCCCCCCATCCCTGCTTTCCCAGCCTTGCCAGGCTTTGCAGATGGCTCTTCTGGACTTGGACGTGGCCTGCCAGGTCTCAGACCATGAGACCTGTTAGGACTGCAAGAGGGTCACTTTGAGCTTCACTATGGCAGATTTGGCATTTGGGTGTGTGGATGAGATTCCTGTTGCCCCATATCATGTGAACAGGCACTTCCCTCCCTCTCTCCCTTGCCCAGTCTTTGTGCTGGGCACGGTCCAAGCATTGCCTTGTCCATCAGAGGTGGCTCTCTGTGTCCCTCCATGGCAGCCCAGCATTGAGAAAAGGGCCAAGGGCAATATTTCTGCCTCTTCCTGGTCTGCTCTTCTGTTTTTCTCTCCTCAAAGCAGCAGGTTCTCAGCTCTGAGGATTTTTCTACCTAACCAGGCATGGGAACAGGGATTCAGCACCAGCCTCCTCATATGCCAGCATTTCCATTACCAGCTAGAATGGACCTTGGTCCACTCTCACCACCTCCCCTGAGACCTGCAGGCAGGCAATGGAGTGGAAGCAATAATTATTACCATTTTGTCTCTTAATTAAAAAGCCTTAATTGATTTTTAATAGTTCCCCCTAGGAAAAAAAACAAAGCAAAGCAAATCAAATAATAACTCCATTAAGGCCATTTTGTTAGGAAGTGAAACAGCTTCAATAACCATGATGTTCCTGGCTCCTCTCAGATGGCGAATGGCTGCCAGCCTCCAGTGAAAGGAAATCGCTTGAGATTCAGACATGGGAACTGGCACCCACTTGGTGGGTGAGAGAAGGGAAAAGGGAAGAGTGTGTGGCCTGGCCTCATGCCAGGACATGGATCCTGCAGGTAAATGGGAGCCACTGTGGCTCCAGGACACTCGCTGTCCCCAATGCCCTGGCCTTGATGACTTGCCACTTGCAGCCCCTGGTGCACGGGCAGGTGGAGGTGGAGATGATCCCATTGAGCAGAAGCACGGACCTGCTGCCTGGCTGTGTTGGCAGGGCAGGAACTACAAGGGATGCAGTATAAACCTCTCAAAGGGCTGCTTTTCCCCAGCTCTCCTGGCCCTGACAGGGCGATTATGCACTAAATATGTCCTGTAGCTCTGCCTTTTTGTCCCTGCAACACCTTAGAAGTTGTAACCACTTTTTGCTTTGGTCTTAACTTGCCAGGGCTGGGGGCAGCTCTGAGGTGGAGGTCTGAGACCCCTCTTCAGCTCACTTTTCTACTCTGCTGATTAAAGCTACCTTCCTACCTTCCCTCTTAGAGGTGGCTATACGGTCCTCATTTCCACAGTCCAGCAACTTCCATTGTGGGAATCATTGGCATAAAGTGACCAGCGGATGCCAGGGTCAGATGAGCCAGCAGCCAGGGGAAGAGTAGGAGACAGCGAGTGTAGGGGCAGGACCTCTGACAGGGATGAGGTTTGCAGTCAGTCGTGCAGATTCGTGGAGCAGCTTCCCCAGGGGGATCACAGTCCTTCTGGGCACTAATAAAAGAGCAAGCAGCAATTTATTATTTGTTACAATCTAATTGCAGCCTCCTTTACCATCTTGTCACATTTATTTTCTTCTGTTTGTTTGAAGTACTAGGTTAAATGAAAGCACTCCCACAGAGACAGGTAGAGCATCCTCCCTCCCCACGCTCCATTTGTCCTCCAACATGTTGCTCACAGGGCAAGGACCTGCAGGAGGAGGCACAACAGCACCTGGCTGGCAGTGCTTATGTCCCACTTGGTACAAAACCAGAGCAGTTCATTTCTTAAGGAGCTTGAGAAGGTGCCAGGAGGCTGCCCCTCCTTCCCAGCGTTGTTTAAACCCCACGTTTCCCTCCCTCCCTGGCAGGGCATCACCTCCTTCTCTCCCCATGCTGGAAGGGCATTGCTCTGCAGTGTCCTGCTTCGGCTGAGCGGGGACTCTCCTCTGCTGTAATATGTGGTGAGGATTGGGGCCCCACACACGGTGCTGAGAGGGGAGAAGAGGTGCAGGGATGTGCCCACCCCTCCCTATGACCCCAGCAGCAATTCCAAGGCAAGGCAGGGAAGAAGCAAGGAGCAGAGCTGGCTTTTCTCACCCCGTGTTTGCACTGAATCAAACCCCTGCTGTGACAACACTCTGCTGTTAGACGGCACCAACCACCAGCTGTGGGTTCCAGATTCAATCAGTTCTGGATCATCAGTTGGGCTCCCTGCTCCCATCGCTGCTTTCACACAGATATTTGTGCACTGGGTGGATGGAGGCTCCCTGGCCCCACAGCTTTTGCTCTTGGACCTTTTGCGGGCTGGATGCTCCCGTGCAGCTCTGCTTGTTGGCAGCTCCTGCTGCCTTGCACTGCTCTGCCACGCATGCTGCAGTGCACTGCTGTGCAACGCTGCTGAGAGCCTGGGTGCACAGGAGGCAGCGTTCTCAGCAGGAGCAAGGTGGGAGATGGGTGCAGCGACTGGGCTGCACCCACAGCAATTGGGCTGTCACCTGGAGAGGTGAGAAATGAGAGACAGAAAGGCACACCAAGAGAGCCTGAAAAAACAACAGGGTGCATGATCTGGAGAGAAAGTGTTGCGGGAGGTAAAGAGGAACACTCTGAGCTTGAGAATGTCCAGCGGATTTTCCTCTTTCCCGGTCCTTAGGAATTAAGGCTCAGGGCAGGCTTGTAGGCAAGCAGGTCTCCTTAAAGATGACTGACACCATCATCGATTTCTTCTGTCCTTTCCCAAAAAATTCCAAAATTTTGACTTGCTTGAAGCAGTTCCCCTGTTTTGCAAAGCCAACCGAAAAGAGCAGGAGCATCAATGTGCAAAGGGACTCCATGAGCTGAAGATCTTTTCTGTCTATCAGCCTAGCACTGGTTGGTTTGGGTTTTTTTTCCTGTTCAGTTCAAAAAATCAGAATCTGAGCAACTCTTGTGAAAAGCTGCATGAATTCTGGTGTCAGAGCTGACAGGCTGTTCAGTGGGAGGAAGTCTATAGGGTAAGGGATAAGGAAGGAGGATGTGGCTGCTATTTGTTCTGAAATGCCATGCGGGACCACTTGAGGCTCAGCTCTTGCAGATGCGCTGCTGTGTCCTGTGCTCTTACTTCTCTTCTGTCTGCATTCTAGACACCCTCCTCCCAACTGAAAGGCTCAGGCCACTCATGGGACCACTGGAGGGATCCAACGGTACCCTCACCATGGAGAAGCCATTAGATGAGAAGCTGCCTCAGGGCTGGCATGCCAAGGACTTTGTGACACCTGGCCACCATCTCTCTGCTTCCCGCAGTGTTATGATGGACAGCACCAAGATCCTGGGGGTCCAGATTGTTCTGATCACTGCCTATTCCCTCATCATTCTGCTGGGGTTCATCGGCAACTCTTTGGTCATCTACATCATAGTGAAGTACAAGACTATGAGGACTGTCACCAACTTCTTCATAGCTAACCTGGCCCTGGCAGATCTCATGGTTGATACTCTCTGTCTGCCTTTCACCCTAGTGTACACACTGCTGGATGAGTGGAAATTTGGAGCTGTCCTTTGTCATCTGGTCCCTTATGCTCAAGCTCTGAGTGTCCATGTGTCCATACTCACCCTAACTGTGATTGCCTTGGATAGGTATCGATGCATTGTTTTCCACCTGGACAGCAGAATTTCCAAAAAGCTCAGCTTCACAATCATAGCCGTTATGTGGCTAGCAGCAGCAGTCCTAGCAGGTCCTCTGGCCATCTTCAGAGAGTACCGCTATGAGGAAATCCCATCCATCAACCTCAAAATGGCTGTCTGCTCAGAAAAATGGCCTTCTGGCAATAACAGAGATGCCACTATTTACAGTCTGTCCATGCTCCTCCTGCAGTATGTTCTTCCTCTTGCAATTATTTGTTACGCCTATACCAGGATCTGGTTCAAGCTGAAAAATCACGTCAGTCCCACCTCTAGGAATGAAAGCCAGTGCCGGAGAAGGAAGACGACCAAAATGCTAGTGATGGTAGTTATGGTATTTGCGGTCTGTTGGCTCCCCTTCCACATATTCCAGCTTGCCATCGATCTTGATCTGGTTCTTATCTTCCACGAATACAAACTCCTGTACACTGTCTTCCATGTGGTGGCCATGTGCTCTACATTTGTGAACCCCCTGCTCTACGGATGGATGAACAAGAACTACCGTAATGGCTTTCTTATGTTCTTCCGTTGCCAGAACAAGCCAGAAAACATCCACACTGAAGGCTCCCTCAGAGGGAGGTCGTACGTCTTCAGAGCTAACACCCTAAATGGGAGCTTCAAACAGTCTGCTGGCAATGGGCAGCTGCCAACGGAGGTTTAGAGATGGGACATCCACGTCTGGGCCTGAAGCTGACTGATCCCTTGGGACATTCTCGGGTGAATGCCTTTTTAGGGGAAACGTTGTGTTGCCAAAACATTATAGCTACTGCAGCCACATAGAAACATCCACCTGTATTCCTCAAAACAATAAATCTGGTGTAAAACAATAAATCTGGAGAAAAAAAATAAGAAAAAAAAAAACCTTTCTTTCTCTGAGTTCGGGTTTTGCATGCAGAATCCTGAACAATGCCATACAGAGAAGGCTCCATTTAGCCAGTGAAACATCCCTTTTTGCCATTTCCCCTTGGAAAAGGGTGTTGCTCTAGCCTTTACCCTCTGACATGTGGTGAAGAATGAACAGGGTCCCTTCTGAGGCTGGGCCACGTTCGGTACATCCCATATCCCTTTACCTGCTGTGTGTGCTTGCTCGTTTGAAGTGTCTCCTATGCAGAAGCCTTATTGATCCATCTTAAGCTAATTACTCCAAGGGGAGGGAGAGCTGCGTTCTCCTGGAGCCCCTCGGGCTGCTTAGTGCTGCTGCCTGCAGGCAGGTCGAGGGGAGCAGGCGGGTGCAAGCTGAGGCTGTGCAGCCTTCACCGCTTGCACCGTGTGTGAATGCGGCTGCATTCACAGCCCATGGGAGGAGCTCCTGTGCCAGAGAGCCCAGGAGGTGGCAGTGACACTGCTTAGCAGCCCGCTTTACAAATGCCAAAGCCAGGCTGTGAGGGCACCTCTCCGGGCCGTCTTTTCACTAGTCACGTTGCTCATAACCCAGTGCTCTGGATTTTGCAAGGAACAGAGCCAGCAGAGAAACTGATGGGAAAGGAAGGAGCTTGGACAGCAGGACTTGTCCAGCAGACTGAAACTGAACCAAGGGAACTGGCAAAGGTGATTGAGATGTGATGCAGAGATGTGGCTCCTACCACGCAACACTCACCAGGTGCCAGAGCAGTAAGAGAAGTGAGACTTGCAATGGCCCATTCCCAAAGCACTCAGAGGGATATAAAGCTTCACTCCAGCTGTGGTTGGAGGTAGCAGGGGTCTGTATGTGGGTGCTTCCATTCAGAACATAGAAGTGACTCGCTTGCATGGTTGTCACAGAGGTAATGTCCTCTGGCAGAAGAAGACAAGGAGACAAAGGAAGATGTCAATCCAACCATGCATTCTCCTTCCTTAGACTCTGTCAGCTGGGGAGCGTATTTTTAGCTCTGCCATCAAAGGAGGCTTGATTGCTACTGTGATCTCAGCAGCTCATCGTTTGTCTTGTCTCAAAAGTCGGTGTTCATCAGATTGGATAGTAGCTCCCAGATGCAGGATAGAGGCTCAGCAGACCTTCTCATTAAAGATAAAATGAAAAGAAAAACTTTGATTTGTAGGTCTTCACCAGATCAAGGACAAGGGCTAACTGGACTTGACAGCACTGAGCCTGGATCAGCCTGCTGGGCTGTCACATCTAGAGTCCTTGGGGGATGAACTTGGGCCAAAGGGCTTATTTGAAATCCTACTTTCCTGCCTCCTTCCCAACTTGAGCCGCCTCTAGTCCTTGTTCCCCAGCTGAGCTTCAGGTTGCCACACTAGATGAATTTAATCTCTCTGCTTATTTGTGTTCACTGATGCTCTGCTCCATTTTCCTAAAAGGTACACGAAAGTGTTGGCTTCTTTCCAGAGAGACATCACTGCCACGCAGGGGCTGCTGACCACGTTCCATACTTGGAGATCAGGACATGCTGATGCCAAGTGACTTAATTCTGATGCCCAGCACATAATTGTCCAGATTGCAGCCCATGATTTTCTTTGCAGGGGCTTCAAGATCTACGAGAACCCTACTCAGGAAGTCAGCAACGTTTTGGTAAAAGGGTCACCTGCTTTCTGACAGACCAAATACTGACATAATAGGAGAAAGGAGACATAAGTCAACTGTTACTTCACATTAAGTGCCTTGGCACAGCAGTGGGAGTTTGCTGTTTTATCCTGATGGGAGGAGGATGTTCTACCACAATCCCAGCTAATGCTCTTCCTACCTAATGAACTCTTCATTTAAACGATCCACCCTCCCAAGGAATTCTCTATGTGTTTCCATCAAACTCCAGGATACAAGAAAATGTTTATCTTTTTTAAAAGCAGCCTAAATGGGTGGAAAGAATTCAACTATTACCAATAAACACTTCAGAAAGTGATTTAACACTCAATAATATATGTCAGGGTAAAACAACACATTCAGCAATGCAAGCTTGGGAGCCAGTCACGCTGCCAGCTGAGATGGATGAGGAGCTAAATTGCTCTTCTAGGGCGTTGCCAAAGGTTTTGTCCTGTGACACTGCACACAACGTCTGACTGCAGAGGCCAGCAGATAATGACATTATGAATGACTGTTCTAAGTTCGAGCCCAGACTTTTAAACTAAATATGGATAAATAAATAAATAGGTCCCAGGTCTTCACAAATAAATACTGGCAATGGCATTTACAGGGCTGAGAGATTCTTATGCTGGAACAAACTGGAAGGGAAGAACTATTTACTTGAAAAGCAGCACGTGAGCAAAGTTCTCTTTGCTTTGTTTAATACAGCCATGTAGGTTTACTAAGGGATTTCTGTCTCCAAGCTTGCAGCCTTTTTTCCTTGCTATTGGAAACAGTTACATCCTTCCATATCCAGGGCAGGAAGGTAAAACAGCTCTAGGTTGTTTGCACACAACGGCTGTGGAAAACTCCAGTGGCTTGAGTGAAGGAAAGCGGCCTTAGTCTTCATTCCCAAAGCGAGAATGATAGAAGGTGGAAGCAAGAGACCAGAACTTCTTATCAAAAGTTGATTTGGATAGGATTATTTCATTAACCAAAAAAAAAGTGACAAAAATGAAATCACCAGGTGTGTCATCGAAACTTGTCTGAACAGTGTTGTTCCAGGAGGCTTCTCCCATTCTTATAGACATCATTCTCTAAATGTCCCTTCACTAACCTGATCGGGGGTATTTCACAGCTTTTAGGTGAGCAACTCAGAGTTCCCTAAGAAATACTTATTTTCCATTTGAGAAAACTCTTTCTGATGACACCACACAAATCCTGTCCTGTAGGTTTCAAAGGAACAGCAGTTCTTAATCGCCAAGTGATCCCTATCAAATAATTAGCTTTGAATGGAAACCACAGGTGGGAATGTCTCTAACCTTCCCCAGCAATCATCACTCATGCCAGAAGAATACAACAGTAGCTCTGAGGTGGCAACACGGTCATTTAAAAACAGCAGCATTAATAAGTTTAGCTTCTTACTATAGACTAAGGGCTCTCAGGAGTCCCTCAGTCTCTTATCAAACATCTGGGCTTGACAGAGCACACAGAGATTTGCAGAGCAGAGGCTGTGCTTAGGGCACAGGAGGCTCTATGATTACTGGAAGTTTTGCCTCTAAATCACCTAGATTGCTTTGAAACTCTCTTTCCATTTGGTTTCCAAAATAGATATATCTATAACAAGTGAACGTATATTTAGGAATAAAGAATAAAGCTTTTTGTTCTTTACTTTTTTTTAACATTTTGCTGTTTTAAGGCAATGTATACAACAAGTATTTAAAGCAATGAGCTGGGTCCTCTAGTGAAGGCCCTGTTAGGAGGAAGACCCGTGTGCTCCTGCAATGACCAGGCTCCCCCCAGACTCCTGGTGATGCATGATCCACAGCAGCCCAAGTGAGCAATGTCAAATGGTGGATGTTTTATTCAATCTGCCCATAAATGGGTCAGCAGAAACAGCGCTCGGAGCTTTCCACAAAGGCTCTGTAGGGAAATACACAGGAGATGTGGGAAGAAGCGGTTCCTCCAGCGAATGCTAATGAGACATGGGCTGGAGTGAGGTGCTGCCAAAGGAGGTCACACGCAGCTCTGAGCTTCCCTTGGTACAAGGTGTTAATCTTATCATTGCTACAGCTAACAGAGTCTGCAACTAAATTAACCTTCCGTTTGGGCAGCAGCTGTAGAGCCGTGGAGTCGGCGCTTCCTTTGCTTGCCTTTGTTGTCCTTTGCCACTGCTATTGAGTGACTTCACTGGGGTCTCTGAACGTCTGGATTTGCTTCTCTTTTAATGTCTCAAGATCAGCTAACCTGATGAAAATCAGGAATTACTGCAATAATCTGAAAAAGGAAAGGACTGTAGGTTCAGATGGGTGAGCAGAATTTGGTCCTTTGCATTAGAAAAACGTAAAACTTTGTCTTTCTTTCAGTTTTTCCTTATCTAGCCTGAGATTCTTCAAGTGCCAAAAATAATACTGCATATTACTGCCAGAACATTTATCTTTTCTTTGAGCTCATTTCAATGACGGGATTCGTTTAAGAGGGCCTGGGATGGGAAGAAGGGTAGATTTTTAAAGCTCATTGTTATCTCTTCTCTCAGTGTTTTGTAAGTTAAAAGACAAATCAGAAAAAGACCAAGTCACTCACACATGCCGCGGGAGGCACCAATTTATCTTCAGACAACACAACCTCCGTTTAATTTTCTATCCAGACATACCAATTCCGCTTGCCTAAGTGTTGTATGTATATGGGTCTGAATAAGGCTGTGGGAGGAAAGCGTTTTTCTGCTGCTAATAGCAATACCTTAGTGCCACTCATGATTTATAGCCAGCGAAGAATGCTTTTTCTGGTCTTATGTTCTGTTCAGTGTAATGAGTACAAAAGAAATAGTGCGGATGCCTCATGAAGCTCACAGGAGGAGATCTTCATTATGTTCAGTCCTCTCTAGTGTCGTAGCAAAGCCTGTGAACATTAGAGGAGAAAACCTTTTGTTTATAACCAGCTTATTGAAGTGCATAAGCATGGAGTTGTTACCGTGCCGCTCTGCTAATGTGTCACAAACTTTCAGACACCGTTTGTCGCCAGGACGCGCGTGCAGCTCAGCTACGAGATGCTTCTCTTTGCTGCCATGTGGAAGGAAGAAGGTGCTAATGGGTCACAGAGCAAGAGTTCAAGATATTAAGGACAGGATGTGCTCCTGGGTGAAATTTTAAGTTGAATAAGTCTTTC